GGTTAGAAAGAAGAGGTAAACCGAAAGGAGTGAATGAGAGGTGCCTGGGGGTTGTGATGAATAACTACAGAGAGTATGGGGGTCGGAGGTACCTGACGGGTGTGGGAGAAAGTTGTAAAGGAGAGAGGTTCACTGGAGAGAGGCGGGATACGGGAAAATTGGCGGAGGGGATGGAGGTAGAAGCTAGAGATGAGGGAAGGGGTATACCGAGGGTTAACTGAGGGAAGCCATTAATGAAAGATGTGACGAGGAGGTAGGGACGGGCTGACCAAGAATAATGGGCGGGGAGGGTTTGAGGTGGACGGGAGTGCATGGTCGCGGTGGAGGTTTGGAGAAGACAACTACGGGATGGATGTCTAGCGTGTTTTTCGGTCCCGCCCCCCTCATCTACCGCCCACCAGCATCAGCCCGACTACCTTCGGGGCCTACGGTGCTGATAAGCAGCTCCGCTCTGCCCTGGGCCCTGCCCGCCGCTGCCAGCACCGGCAGGCTCCCCGGAGCGCCCTCGCTCACGAACAGTCTCATTTCGCCGTGGGTCCCACGCTGATGCAACCGGAACCCGCCTCCTGCCAGCGGGAGGAGAGTACGCAGCAATGCACGCCGGGAAATGGAGTTCCGAACTAGGTCATTCCCTGGGCACCGCTGGGGGGAAGTAGACTATTTCTCCCGTCATGCAACATCAGGAAACAGGAAAAGAATATCATAGAGATTGAGAGGGCGCAGAGGCTGTGCTAGAGTGGCACCTTTTTGGTGGGCGGGCCAGAGGAACGGATTCCGCGGAGAGCCCGGCACGTAGTTGAAGCTTCTACGGCAGCTGGGCGGTGGTGACGGAAACCCAGGCCTTCTCTCGTCTTGCTGAAGTGGCGTTGTCATGACAGGGGCTACTACCAAAGGCCGACTCTCGATTCGGGTTCACAAGAATAGGAATTATACAGTTGAGAATTATGATGAACTTACTTTAGTGATACAATGGAAATTAATGTAGATTTCTTATTAATAAAACATGTGACATTAAATATTGATAAATATTTAATGCCTGTCTGCAGCTAGACAGTTTCACTGAAGGTGAGAGAGCATGTGTAGGGAAAAGGTCAGATTGAAGGGAAGTAAGAAGGCTAAGAGTTTGGCAGTAAGTATTTATTTTACGAGGAGGTACATATCACTAATTGAGAAAAGAAGACTCCTCATTCACTTTCGCATCCCTTTAGCAATAATTAATACCTGGGCGCCTGGCTGCCTCAGTCAGAAGAGCACAGGACTGTTGATCTTGGGGGCATGTGTTCCAGCCCTATGATGGGTATAGAGTTTACTTAAATAAATAAATTTAACATAAATAAACTAAAAAAAGAATAACTAATAGTACTTATGAGTTAAGCACTCTTCTAAGTACTTTAACATATATTAACTCTCAAAAAAACCCTCTGGAGGTTCTGCACCTTTTGAAACGAGGCTTTGCAGGTTCTGCCCAAGCTTCTTGGAACACCGGAAGCTCTGAGCAGTCATGTAAGAAGTTTCACTACCTTGAGACTGCCATGCTGGAGGGGTCTCATGTTGACACTCTGGCTCACAGCTCCAGCTGATCCCAGCATTCCAATCATTCCCATCAAGGCGTCAGACATGGGAGTGAAGCCCTCCAAACCAACCCATCTGGCCTGCTGAATATTACTAAATGAGCCTAGCCAATGCCACTGGGTTAGAAGAATCATGCAGCTGAGACCTATCCAAATTTCTGTCCCATAAAATCGTGAGCTATAAGAAAATTTAACAAAATGCAGACTATTCAACAAAATGCAAACAATGAGCTTAGTTCTCTCATTCTTGTTTTATAGATGAGGAAACTGAGGCACAGAGAGATTACTTTGTGCCAGGCACTATGCAAGGCATTAAAGATCCAATTATCAACAAAACAGATAAAGGCTTCTTCCTTGGCATAGCTCACAGACTTCCTCGGAAGTCAGAAAATAAATGAATCTTTAAAGTTTCATGAAAATCACAATAGGGTGATGTAAAACTTGCTCTGGAGCTCCTAGTTAGGGCCACAGCCTAATTCTAAGTGCTTAAGAGAGACTTTCTTGTGCAAATAACCTTTCAGCTGAGATCAGAATGATAAGTAAGAGTTAGCTGGTGAAGATTGGTGGGATTGGAGAAGAAGTGTCTCAGGCAGAGAGAGAAAAATATATATGCAAAGGACTGGAGACCTCAGTGCATTTTAGGAATCTGAGGAATTAGTGTGTGGTGAAAATATGGAGTTTGTGGTAGGGAGCATGAAAAGGCTAGGCTCAAGGGAGAAAGTCTCTGTAAACCGTACTGTAAATTTTGGACTTGACTCTGAGGACAATGAGAAGCCTTTGAAAGTTTTTTTGTTTGTTTGTTTTTTAAGATTTTATGTATTTACTTGACAGAGATCACAAATAGGCGGGGGGGGGGGGGGGGGGGGGGGACGGGCAGCAGGCTCCCTGCTGAGCAGAGAGCCTGATGCAACCCGTTACTGAATCCTACGACCCGGAGATCAGGACCTGAGCCGAAGGCAGAGGCTTAACCCACTGAGCCATCCAGGCACCCCAAGCCTCTGAAAGGTTAAGTCAGGGACATGGCAAGGCATTTCTGTGCTTTAGGAAGTTCGCTCTGGGTGCTGTGCCAGGATGGACTGGCGATAAGGAGAACCATATGCAAGGAGACTAGTTAGGAGGCTATATCATCCAGACTAAGGATGATGATAGCTATAGAGATGAAAGGAAGTAGGTAGTTTGAAAAGATGTAGTAATTGGTTAAATAGGAGTGGTGAGAAAACAAAAGAAATTACGGTTGGCCACCAGGCTTCTGGCATGCACAATTGGTACTGTATGTGTTTGAACAGATGATAGTATTTTCCCTATCATAATGGATATCACACTGTATTTTGTTATGAGAGGACAAGAGCCATATTTGTCCTCTTAATCAACAATGCCCAGCACATGTTTCCTGCCTGGCACATATGGTAGCAAGCATCCAATAAATATTTATTGAACTCAAATTTAACCAAATAGTGGTACTGGAAGAGAAACAGATTTGTGGGGAACAAGTTCAGTTTAGAACATACTACATTTGTGCTACTTTGGGCACTGTGAAATATCCAAGTGCTTTTCAGTGGACAGTGGATTAAACTGGAGCTCCAGAGAAAGTTCTGGACTGGAGATAGTGTACTCAGCAGCACATGGATGTCATTTAAGCTGGGGAGAAAATAAGACTATATATATAGGGTGTATAGAGTTCAAAGGGCACAAAATCTATGACAGACCTCTGGGGTTTAAGGAACAAGCAAAGTCCTTCCTTATGCAACAGAGAAGGGACTGGTAAGAAGGTAAGGACACCTTCTTTGTGTTTGTAGAAGGAGAGAATAGTCAATTGTGTTGGCTGCTGCTGAGATGTCAAACAATATAAGGCCGGCAAAACATCCCTGTAAAGTCGGGGGTGACCCTAGGGAAGAGGAGCCTCGCAGAGGTGAGGGAGTAAGGGGAGAAGAAATGGACACCCCCATATGTAGGCAACACTTTCAGGAAGTTTGACTGTAAAGAGGAATAGAGAAGGATAGGGTGGTAACCCAGGAGCATAGAAAAGGAGGGTTTGGCTAAAAATGGCTGAGACATGAATATGTTTAAAAGCTCAGGGGAGGGGCACCTGTGGTGTCTCAGTGGGTTAAAACCTCTGCCTTCGGCTCAGGTCACGATCCCAGAGTCCTGGGATGGATCCCCAGGTCAGGCTGTCCGCTCTGCAGGGAGCCTGCTTCCTTCTCTCTGTCTGCCTCTCTGCCTACTTGTGATCTCTGTCTGTCAAATAAATAAATAAAATCTTTAAAAAAGTAATAATAAATTTAAAAAAATTTAAAAAAAATAAAAGCTCAGAGGAAGGAGGCCATAAAGAGGGAGAGGATAAAGTTCAAGAGTTGTCAGAGAAGGCAGAAGAGGAGGAGATGTAAGGACTTAGCAAACACCAGATGAATGAATGATGAACGAATGGGATGAAGTTGGGGACTATTGTGGAGGTGGGAAGGAATATTTGAGGAGTAAGGTTCTCCACATGATAAATAAAAGTGGAGCCTTCTGAAAAGGAAGATCAATGAGGCCAAATCTGATGCTGGGAACCAGTCCTTGGATCACGTCAGAGGAGGAGAGCTGGCTCTCGGATGTCACCAAGGTGGAGGGGCAGTCCAAACCCAACCTCTCCAAAGCTAGACCCAGAGCCTCACATTGTGCAGTGGGGAAACTGAAAGAAGGGCAAAACAAGAGTGGTTAGGTAAGGGGGAAGCATCAGGGTATGTTTTAAAGCCCTGGCAATGGACAGTGGACATCAGTTCCCACCTTTCACCAAGGAAAAGCCAACATCAGTCCCCCATCCACCCCTATGTGCAGTCACGTCACACTGTAATATTTGTCCAGAGTCCTTGATTCAATTGTAGTTAATACATGTATTGTGTCATTAGTTGAGATCTATCCTTAAGCTCCACAAGGGCAAGGGCTGTGTCTAACTCCTTCCCCCCTCTTATCTCCAGGACCTAACACTGTTCCTTTCATGCGGGAGGCGCTCAGCCAATCTCTGTTAAGAGAATGAATGAAGGGACCCACACAACAAAGTAGGACTCCGTCTCAGAGGCTCTGTACAGAGTATTGTTTCAAGGCCTCTAGGCTCCCAAAACATATCCTGGATTGAGAGGATGGTGGTATTTTCACCTCTTCCTCTAACTTGGAACCCCTTTGTGTTTTTCCCAGCCACTTTCTCTTTCTCTCTACTTCGGTCTTATAGTTCTCTGGCTCTGGTTTCTCTGTCTCCGTGTCTCTCAGAGTCTGCACAGGAAGCACGCAGCTTTGGGTCTGAGGCTATTGGGGACGGAAACAAAGGTGCCTGTGTACATTTAATAAAGGTCACAAGCTTTTTTTTATCTTTGTCATTAATTCCTGTCTCTTTGCCTGCGTATTGTCTCGGGCCTGATTCTCTCTCCTCATCTTCCTCTGTTCAGCTCTAAAATCCTACCACTACCTAGGACCTGTTCCTCCTGCCCGTGGATTTTGTGACGGGCCCCAGAAGTTTCTTGGAGGACAATCACCGAGCAAGCCTCTCTCCCCTGATTTCCTGCCCTACTCTCCTCTTAGCTCTGCTGACCACATCCTCTCTCACCTTACTTATATACTTCCTTACCAGTCATATCACTGGGGAGTTCTTAGTCCCTTAAACCTATAGATGACCCCCACTCAGGCTCTCTGCTTTACCCTCTGCTCTCATTCTGAGGTTCCTGTCCTTACGTTTCTCCCTATCTCCCTACGCTGCTCTTAGAACCATGTCTCTCTGCTTGGAAGCAGCCAGTCGCATCCTTTGCTGGATCTCCAACACCCCGTTTTCCCACAGGTGACAGTACTGACTACAATGCTGTCAGGCCGGTGGTGGTCGAGTACCTGGGGGAGCCTTGGGCTGGGGCCCCAAAACTCTTCTCGGGGATCCCAGCTCTGTGCCCTCTATGCCTTCACTTACACTGGGGCAGATGGCCGGCAAGTGTCCCTAGCTGAAGGGGACAGGTTTCTACTACTTCGAAAGACCAACTCAGACTGGTGGCTGGCAAGGCGACTGGGAGCACCCCCCACTTCTCGACCCATCTTTGTCCCAGCTGCCTACATGTCAGAGGAATCTATCCCATCCCAGAGCCCAACCACCATCACCCCCAGCCAATCCCTCTGGACACCTGGTGAGTACTCCTTTCCCCTTCCCTCCTCCCTGGCTTCTAGGAATTATTGAAAGGCTCTCTCTCCCTCAAGGCATCTGCTGACCCCCTTCTCTTATTTCCCTCTGATCAGCCTACTCTTCATACCCGTCATAGTGTCCCCATTGCCTCTCCTTCTACTCTTACACTTTCTAGGTCTCATGAACTTTTGCACAGTCTCCCCTGCTCTTGCCTTCCTTGTGAATCCCCAGGATGAGGGATCCAGCCAAGACCACCCCTCTGATCGCCTGCTCCCACTCTTCCCATTTCTCTGTTTCCAGGGCCAAAGGTGTTTCATGGCTCTGCGGAGGAGCTGCGCCTGTCTCAGGAACCCCCAGGCAGGACCCAGACCACCTCTAAGCGGCCTCCTCCTCTTCCCCCCAAAATGTGTAGAAGCGTCAGTGTTACCAATTTGAGGCCTACCCTCCTGAAGCCCTTCCAGGAAGGAGCAAGTGGCAGATCCCTCTCTCAGGAAGACTTACTGCCAGAGGCGAGTGCCAACACGGTGAGTCAAAGCCCTTCTGAGTGGAGTAAAGAGTAAACAGTTATTTACTGCTGGGCCCTGTTCTAGGCACAATGGTAAAAAAGGCAGGCAGAATCTCTGCCCTCAAGGGATTCCCCTGGGGGTGACAAACACAGGAACTAGTAACTGTTGGTACTGGTAAGTGCTATGGACAAGCATGAATGTAGAGAGTGAGGGAGGTAATCTGGGAAAGCATCTCCTAGAAAATGATATGTACTTGATCTGAATGAGGAGGAGGAAGAACTAGCCTGAACCCAACTAAGAAATGAGAAGGAAGTCTAGCTGAGGGGTAGCAAGTAGCAAAGAGCCTGAGGATACACAGAACCTGGCAGATGACAGGGGGACTGAGAGAAAGCCACAGAGCTATGTTTTTCTCTCTTCCTCCTGACTCCAGGCCCAGGGCAGGGCTTTTCCTGTGTCCCATCTTGCTAGCTCAGGTCACCGGCAAGTCCCACTTAGAGATGTAACTCCCTTGCTCTTGAAGACTCAGCTCCTCCCCCTCTCTTACTTGCTGGTGGGTTAAAATGGCCCCTCCTCTCTCATACTCCCCCAGTAGGGGTCCCTGACCCCCCCCCTTCCTTTTCACTCTGGAGAATGTGAGGGTAGGGCACTCCCCTCAACACCCCCCCCCCACCACACACACAAAAAGCCGGTTCCCCTTTCCTGAGGCCCTGGGGTAGGGGCGGGGTGGGGGAGGAGGGAAGTTGGCAACAGGAAGTGAGGAGGAGAAAAGCAATGACTGAAGGAGAGAGAAAAAAAAGCACCCAGCTAGGGACTGGGGTTTCTTCCCCAGTACCTGGGTCACCCTGGCCAGGAGCTGGGGGTGAGAAAACAGTGGGGGAGAGAGGAGGAGGTGGTTAGGTGAAGAGAAGATTAGGGGGGTACTGAAAGAATTAACTACCTTTTTTTTCCCCCTTTCCTGTCAGGCAAGACCCCAGCCCCTCATGTCAGAGCACCCTGTGTACTGCAACTTAGTGGACCTTCGCCGCTGTCCCCGGTCTCCTCCCACAAGCCCTGCGTGCCCCCCACTACAGAGGCTGGACTCCTGGGAGCAGCACTTGGACCCTAACTCCGGACGCTGCTTCTACATAAATTCGCTGACCGGTTGCAAGTCTTGGAAGCCTCCGCGCCGCACTCGAGTGCGGGAGATGGTGAGACTTTCCCTCCTGCCTGTTCCTGTGTCCCCTCCACCTCCTCCTTTCCCCTACTGACCCCCAAAGCGGCGTGTTTTCTCTCGGGGCTGCCATCAGAAAATTGCCCAGAAGGGTGTTGAGAGCGGGTTGAGGTGGCAGCTGGCTGTAGCTTTGCTCCTCACCCCACTCCCCAGAACACTGGCTCCATGGAGGGGACACAGACCCTGAATAGAGACAATGGTGTCCCGCAACCTCAGGCAAAGGGCTCAGAATCTGACAAGGCGACCCCGGAACTGCTTGGCCCCCAGGTGAGATTCCCCTCTCCTCCTAATCACATGCAGGAAAAGCCATCCTTTTACTACTTTATTTTATGCAAGACGTTCATCTGTTACCCATCCCACCCCCTGCCTCTCACCCACATCCGCACCTCTGTCCCCCCCATAGGGGGACTCCTAAGTTGACGTTTCCTCCACCTGTTTCTCCAATCCCCTCCCCCAGGGTTCACCCTACCTCTGCCCCAACAACTTCCAGCTCCACCCCTCAGACCAGCCTTCAGCCTTGCAGCCCTCTCGACCTCTGCCCCAGGTCCTGGACGACCCCCACGTAAGTCACTCACTTCCTTGTGCAGGCCAAGATCCTCACTGCCCCACCCCCCAATTCCTGCTCCTTTAGAAACATCTTCCTCTTTCTGAGTGTTCTCTGGGTATCCTCTCTTACGCAGCCTACCCCCACCCCAACTGTAAAGGACCTCACTCCTGGGTCATCCCCCCTTGGGAAAGCCATGGCGGCTGTGGGGGGCTCTGGGTGGCTTATAAATAATACCCCTCGCTCCACTCCCCAGGAGGTGGAAAAGTCGGGCCTGCTCAACGTGACCAAGATCGCCCAGGGGGGGCGGAAGCTCAGGTGAGGAGACCCGGGAATACCGCGGGGGGCCTGGGCGGCTGGATTCCGTAGAGCCGAGTGCGGGGAGAGCGCCTGCCCCAGGCGATTCCAACTGACTTTTGCACTACTACCACTGCCCCCTCCGCCCTGCAGGAAGAACTGGAGCTCGTCTTGGGTGGTATTAGCGGGTAACAGCTTGGTGTTCTACCGGGAGCCGCCGCCCGCCGCGCCCTCCTCAATCTGGGTGAGTGTGAGGGAGGGGAGGAGGGGGCTTGCCGTAGGGGTTGAGGCCCGACTCCTACGGCCTTAGGCCAACTGTGGGGCGAAGGTGGAGCAGGGGGGAGTAAGGGAAGAAGCACAGCCTCCTGTGTCCTCGCGGTCCCCCGGGTGGGAGGGAGGCAACGAAGGGAACAGCGCCATGGCCTCAGTTTCTCCCACTTGCCAGGGACCAGCGGGTAGCCGACCCGAAAGCAGCGTGGACCTGCGCGGAGCAGCCCTGGCCCACGGCCGCCACCTGTCCAGCCGCCGCAACGTCCTGCACGTGAGTGCCTCCCGGGCGTACCCCAAGCTTCACCCGACCCGAAGGTGCACCCGGTTTCCCCGCACCGGTCTCCCGCTCCGCCTCCCAGCTTTTTGTGCTTCTCCCCGATGACTCAAGCAAGCCCTGTCTCCGCTGGTCCCTCAGATCCGCACGGTCCCTGGCCACGAGTTCCTGCTGCAATCAGACCAGGAGACCGAGTGGCGAGCCTGGCACCGCGCGCTGCGGGCGGTCATCGAACGCCTGGTGAGATGGGTGGGAGGCGATGGGGCAGAGCCTGGGGAAAGGCTCGGCCCAGGCGGGGTAGAGGGAGTGGGGAAGGAACAGTAGGATTCTGGGGTGGTAGGGGGCAAGGTGGTCGCAGTGTAGACCACCCTATGGTGGGGCTGGGACGTGGGAACCCAGCAGCCGGCTAGGATCTCCTTGCGTCGAGCTGGGGGTGCAGATTTCTCTTCTTCTCTCTTCCAATCTCCGACTCGGCCCACCTCGCCCTTCCCGGTCTAGGATCGAGAGAACCCCCTGGAACTGCGTCAGTCAGGTTCGGGACCCGCAGAGCTGGAAGAGCTGAGCGGTGGGGAGGACGACGAAGAGGAGTCGGAACCCGTGTCCAAGCCACTGCTGCGGATCGCCGGCCGCCGGAGCTCCAGTGAGGGGCGGGGCTCGGGTGGGCGGGGCCTGGGGGCGCGTCTCCCGGCTAGTTCCCCACCGCAACTCTCGCCCTCATTCCACCTGCTCGTATAGGTCGGTGTCCTGAAGGAACAGAGCAGAACCGCGTTCGGAACAAACTGAAGCGGCTTATCGCAAAGAGACCACCCTTGCAAAGCCTGCAGGAGCGTGGGCTGCTCCGAGGTGAGGTGGGCTGGGCCAGCGGGCCCCCTTCTCCTTCGTACCTGCTGTAGTATTTTTGCAAGCACCTTTATGTTCCTGATCTGGGCATTAGCCCACTTCGTGGATGAGAAAACTTCAGTGAGACTCACAGTAGAACTTCCCGGAACTAGATTAGCGGTCTTCTGCTCCTCCACTGCGTAGTCTGGGGGAGAAGGGGTGTACCTCCTGGCGGGGGCCTAGAAAAGGTGGTCGGGAGGGCCAGCCCAACTTTGGGGTGAAAACCTGTGCTGAGAAGACCTTTTATGGGTGAGGCTGCCTCTGGCTTTCCCCCTTACTCTGTGCCTCTCCAGACCAGGTATTCGGCTGCCAGTTGGAATCACTGTGCCAGAGGGAAGGGGACACCGTGCCCAGCTTTGTGAGGCTCTGCATTGCTGCTGTGGATAAGAGAGGTCATTTTTCCAGAGACCCCACAATCTCCCCTTCCAACAGGCCAAGGGGGAGAATTCCCTACCTCCCCCACCCTAGTCTTCCTTCTGCCTTATTCCCCTCCATCCCTGCATCTCTCACCAGTCCTCCCCTTACACAGTTTGGAGCAGGAATCCTTATTTGCTCCCTGCCTTGTCTCCTAGGTCTAGATGTGGATGGCATTTACCGGGTGAGCGGGAACCTGGCAGTGGTCCAGAAGCTTCGCTTCCTGGTGGACAGAGGTGAGAAGCTTGTGGGCATGTGGTGGGACTTTGAATTTCATGCCTCAGAGCCATAGGCAGTCTCTTAGGGAGCTGACATAACAGCGAGGTCTGGCTAGAGCTGCATGTCTTAGCTCTTGATCCCTTCTCATCCATGTTGCAGAGCGGGCGGTCACCTCCGATGGGAGATACGTGTTCCCAGAACAGCCAGGACAAGGTACTTATGTGGAAGGCCCCTCAGACCCTTAAACCATCTGACACCCTCCCTGCTCCTTCTGGATTCCTCTGTCCTGCTCCTGGGTGGGTTGTCCCCATCCCCACCTCTGCTGCCTTGCCCCACGGTGGGTCTCCTAGGTGTTTCTGTGGTCTGCCTTAACTGGATCTTCTCCCAAACTCCTGACCTCTCAGTCTCTGGATCTTTCTGGCCCTTCATGAGCCCTGAGCCCCTCTGTACCTCCTTCTCTTCCCAGAAGGCCGATTAGATTTGGACAGTGCTGAGTGGGATGATATTCATGTGGTCACTGGTGCTCTGAAGCTTTTTCTCAGGGAGCTACCCCAGCCTCTGGTGCCCCCATTGCTGCTGCCCCATTTTCGTGCTGCCCTTGGTAAGGGATAAGAACTTTGGGCAATACCCTTGGTATGGGGGTGGGGCATGAAGGGTAAAGAATAGAGTTTCTCTTACACCCTTTTATCCCATCCTGAGCACGGAGATGGGAAACAACTTTCACCTCCAGTTATTCTTTTGAGTGTGAATGTTCAGAAGGCTGACTAAAGAAGAATTTTAGAGCAGCATTTGGGGGGTTCCTGGCTGGCTCAGTCGGTAGAACATTTGACTCTTGATCTCAGGGTTGTGACTTTGAGCCTCATGTTGGGTGTAGAGATTACTTTAAAATAAAATCTTTTTTTAGGGACGCCTGGGTGGGTCAGTTCTTTAAGCAGCTGCCTTCAGCTCAGGTCATGATCCTAGCGTCCTGGGATCAAGTCCCACATCGGGCTCCTTGCTTGGCAGGGAGCCTGCTTCTCCCTCTGCCTCTGCCTGCCACTCTGTCTACCTGTGCTCACTCTTGCTCCTCTCTCTCTGACAAATAAATAAATAAAATCTTTAAAAAAAAAAAAAAACTCTTGAAAAAGAAAAAAAATCTTTTTTTAAAAGATTTTATTTATTTATTTATTTATTTATTTGACACAGAGAGAGAGACAGTGAGAGAGGGAATACAAGCAGGGGCAGTGGGAGAGGGAGAAGAAGACTTCCCACTTAGGGAGCCTGATGCGGGGCTCAACCCCAGGACCCTGGGATCATGACCTGAGTGGAAGGCAGACGCTTAATGGCTGAGCCACCCAAGCATCCCTTAAAAATAAAACCTAAAAAAAACAATAATAAAGCTGCAGTTGGGCTCTGTGGGAAAGCAAGCCGTGGTACATTAGTGGTGTCTTCCATGGCCGTGGAAAAGAGTAGCAAGTTTACCCACTCTGCCCTAGCACCTTCCCTAGCCTCACCCCCATGCCCTTCCCTTCCCTTTTTCTCTCTAGCACTCTCCGAATCAGAGCAGCGTGTCTCTCAAATACGAGAATTAATAGGCTCAATGCCCAAGCCCAACCGTGACACTCTGCAGTGCCTCCTGGAACATTTATGCAGGTCAGGGAGACTGGATGTCTCTGCATGCGGAGGGAGGGTGGAGTGGGGCATGCGCCGGGGATTGTGTTCAGGTGCAGGGAAGGTAGGGGACACCTACATTTCTCTCCTGTTTAGTGGGCAGAGGGAGGAAACAGGTTACCTCTGGGTAGGACATCAAGTGGGGAAAATGGAGATCAAGAGATTCCCAGGGGGCGCCTGGGTGGCTCAGTGGGTTAAGCCTCTGCCTTTGGCTCAGGTCATGATCTCAGGGTCCTGGGATCGAGGCCCGCATCGGGCTCTCTGCTCAGTGGGGAGCCTGCTTTCTCCTCTCTCTCTATGCCTGCCTCTCTGCCTACTTGTGATCTCTCTCTCTCTGTTTCAAATAAATAAATAAAATCTTTAAAAAAAAAAAAAAAAAGATTCCCAGGGATGCTGTGAGAGAAATGAGGACCCCCTTACTGCTCCCTTCCCCAGGCCTCTTTGTCTCCTGTTGGGACCGTGCTCATGGCTTATTTGGCTGAACTGGGCCTGGGCAGTGACTTCTGAGAGAGGAAAGCCGTTTGAATTAGAGCTGCCCAACCTGGGAACCAAGGGGACCCTAGGGGCAGTCTCTGAGGCTGGGAAGAGGCAGGCATCTCCTGGGTTGTCTCTCCCAAGTTGTATCCTGAAGGTTTCTCTGCTGGTCCCATCTTCATGTCCCTTGCAGCTCTCTGCTTGGTTCCCTACAGCCACCACCTCAACACTTTCCCTCTCATCCCTTCGAAGGATTAGATTTATTTGAAGTGGGGAAGCTGCTGCCTTATAGCCCCTGCTCTTGGTCTTTGCCTACAGGGTGATAGCACACTCCAATAAGAACCGCATGACCCCTCACAACCTGGGAATTGTGTTTGGGCCAACCCTGTTTCGGCCAGAGCAGGAGACATCTGACCCAGCCGCCCATGCCCTCTACCCTGGGCAGCTAGTTCAACTCATGCTCACTGATTTCGCCAGCCTTTTCCCATGACTGGGGTGAGGAAGAAGACAAAAACTTGTTTCCGCTGATCTCTGATGGCTACCCTTTGGTGGGGATGGGAATAGTGGATGTTCTGTTTCGAGGACATCCCATTAAATCCTGTGTCTCCCAGATGACTGTCTCTGTGAGTATGACCTGAGGGGTTGGGATGGGGTGGGGGAACCTCCTAAAAAAGGGAAGTGGGTGGGTTAACCTCTACTTCTCTTCTTGTTCACTGTCACCACCACCGCCCCCCCACCCCAAGACAGTAAAGTGTAAAGCCGGGTGCTTTCTGAAGCCGTTCCTTTATTATCCAGAAACAGTGTCATTATCAAATTCCTCCCCAGAACATACACAGAAGGTATACAGCCCCAACCCATACCTCCCATCCCTGGGGCATCCCACGGGGCTCTGGCTCCTCCTCCCAGCTTCTCCAAGGGGATGGAAACCCCTTAGGAAATGGATCTGTGGTTGCTGGGATTCCTCACTCTTCAGGCGCTAGAGTTGAGGAATTGTGTCTACCCAGGCAGGGATCCCAGTAAGATACTCATGTTGCCCACGGCCATGTTGGGGGGCCCAGAGGTAGGCGGGGTGTGTTCAGAGCTGTCCCCCTGATCTTGGGAAGGGGGAGGACTCAGCCCCTGGGCCTCATCCAGAATAGCCACAAAGTCCAACTGAGTGTTGTCAAGGTCAAGAGAGTCCAGAGGGTTACACACCTGCCCTTCAGGAGGAGCATACAAGGCAGGACCCCCTCCCAGCCTGCCTACCTCAGGATGACCACAACTGGGGTTGGTGCTCCCTGCCTTGAGGGTCCCATAGCAAGTGGGCAGTGGGGGCAGAAGTCGGGGTGGTGCTGTTGCCCTATGGGGGGCCTTGCTTGCCCCCACTGCAAAATTTTCATGGCAGGGTGGAGGGGCGAGATAGGAGCCCGATTTGTGATTGGGCAAGTTAGGTGCAAAGCCAGGTCCATACGTGGCTATTGGACCCTTGGCAGGGCTGGGGCTAACCTGGGAAGCCCCTAGAAACTTGGGACTCTGGTAGAGAGTTTCCTGGACTGGGGGATCTCCCCTGCCCCCACCCTCCCAGAGCAGTTCCTGTTGAGACTGAACATAATTACACACCAGCTGAGCCTTGAGTTGTCCTGTGGAGTGAGTGGGGGAGTCAAAGTCCAGGCCAGGCCTGGGCTCTGAAGGAAGATAATCAGGGGGTGGCTGGGTGTAGGCACCTGACTGGGGATATTGGGGAGGGGGAGGCTGCGGATAGTGGGAGAACAGAGGCTGTGGGCGAGGAGGCCCGTCACTGGGGTGAGCACTGAGGCAGGGCGCCAGTCCTGTGGAGTCAGAACCCACTGGACACCCTTGTTCGGGCTTGACCTGCACTTGTCCATAATGTTCTAGACGAGGACACTGACTGTAGACTCCAGCTGGAGCCTTGGGGCCTGGGTACAGCCCAGAGTGGGAAGGGAAATCACCCCATGGTTCAGGTGGGTGCTCAGGATAGGAGACCTGCTGGGGACAGGGGTTCAGCCCATAGTTGGTGGGTGGACCAGGCCCAAGAGGCAGGGAGCCTGGACCCCTAGCTCCATACGCTTCAGCTGCTGCCTCCTCAGGTCCCCCATATCCCAAAGTATCAGTAGGTGGGAAGTCCATATAGGGGTTTAGACCATTGCCCATCATGGAGGTCCCACCTTCTGGCTCCTCCTGCAGCTCTCTGGTATCCATGGTGACATTCTCAGTGATGCTGGGGGGCTGTGGTGAGTAGACAGCGGTTGGGAGTTGGGAATCGAAGTTCCGTCCTCCCCCTGCCACAGTGGGGGGCATGTGGACACAACCCAAGCTCTTGAACCGCTGGACTCGGGCTGGGGCAGGGCGGTCAACAGCCCGGGCTGGGTCACTGGCCCTCCGGGTGACCCCTGCGTTGGCATTGTATCCTGGGTATTCAGTTCGGCTTCTCCAGGGAGGTGCAGGAAGGCTCCCCATCCGGTCCAGGCTGGGTGCTGCCATTGGGGGGGTACCACCTCCCCTGGCTGAAGCATACCTTGCCCGGAGCAGGTAGTGCTGGGTTGGCGTGAGGCCGGGCAGAGAGGATGCCCCGTTCTCGGGCGGGGATCCAGGTGGGTAAGGGGAGGCCAGGGAGGAGCGGCGGCTGACGGTATAGGCTGAGCTGACGCTGCTGGAGCTGCTGCTGCGGCGGTCAAGAGAAACCGGGGGGCCCAGGCGGCGGGACACAGGGGTGCCTACAGGTGATAAGAAGAAAAAGCAGGGTGGTCAGGGAACCCTCTGAATCTCACCCTGCCTTCCCCATGGGACGCCCCTGTCCTGGAATCCCAGGGATAGGCTCCTTCACTCTGACCACTCAGTTCTGTCTCCTCCCATGCCCTTTCTACATCTGCATCACCAGGGTTTCAGAACTGCTGCCTGTGAACAGTTGTATGCGTTGCACACTGCACAGCCCTAAGAAGCAGAATTCATGTTATACTTTGTATAGCACAGTCACCTGATAGGTGGAAGGCAAGTGTCTGAGGAAGGGGGGTCTTTCTCTAATTGTACAAAGGTGCTGTAGGCAACCCTTAGGAGGGAAGTCCTCCTTCCAACTTCAGAGAAGGTCCAGATCTCAGCCCAACAACTACCCCCACACCCAGGTCTCACCAGTATGGGTCAGGCTGGGCAGTTTGAGGCCCCGGGGCCCTATCGGCCGAAGTTGATGTAGCTGGTCCAGTCTGAGGTTCTCAAGGCGGCGAAGAGTGGACAGACCAGTGCCAGCAATGCAAGGCCCCTCATCCAAGCTGGACAGGTCCTCAGTGCTGCCCCCTGCATTTCCAGTCATTTCCACACCACTATCTGTGTTGGCTGCACTGCCGGCTGGGGAGTGGTCGCTGCTGCAAGACGACTGGGCCCCAGGGCTGGGCTGTGGCTTCTGGTAGTGAAGGGTTGGGGGTTGGAAAATGAGGGCTGAGGGCAGCCCCTCCCCACTGCCCCACAGTTCCCTGAACTGGTGAGTGGCTCAAGCCTGTGTCCCAATGACTGCTGGGACCAAGGGGAAGCTTACAGGTGTAGGGAGGGATGAGCAGGTGCAGGTCAGGGGCAAACTGGAGTGATGTTGAAGAGAAGGGCCTAGGCTGGAGCACAGACTGCCTGGGCTCAAATTCTCACCCAGTCCTGTGACCTTGGACCATTTGTCTATATGCCTGAGTTTCATCATCTGAAAATGTGGAGAGTAAGTTCCTTTTTCACGAACTTGTTGTGAGGAGTATATGAAATTATAATCATGCAGTATAATCATACTACGTGTGAATTGTACATGTAAACTACACATAAATTAGGATAATACACTAAGGCCCATATAAGAGTTTGTTGAACCAGTTCAGTTATTAATTATACTAGAATCTCTCCATTTGGGGTAACCCAAGGAGCACCACTGGGATAAGAAACTGGAGGACTGACCACAGAGGAGGACCCGGAAGAATATGGAGGGGACTGGAAGGATGAATGCGGGGCAGGCGGGGCACGGAGGCAGGAGTTGCCTGGGTCAGCTCACCACAGCGCCCTCCGGCACGGTCAGTCTGTTCTCCTCCCTGACGGAGCCTCCATCCCGCTCCCTCTTGGGCTCCACTGTGGACAGGGACGGTGCCCTGGGCAGGGGGCCGTCTCCTCGGTGGCGCTTGGTCACATGGGCATCAGGACCGTGCACTGTCTTGACGTGTTTCCGGAGCGAGCTGGGATCTGTGTAGCGTTTGGTGCAGCCTGGGAGCTTACACACATACGGCTTCTGTTGGGTGGACAGTGAAGACACCAGGCAAAGGAATCAGAGCAGAAGAGTGCAGAAGGAACGGGAAGAAGACGTGGCATCTGTTGGGGATGAGGGGTCAGGGAGGAACACACAGCACCCAGGGAATTAAGGAGAGAGTGGGGCCCTTGGAGTAAAAAATGAGAGGATCAAGGGAAAGATTAGGTAAACTGACAGCCCAGGTCTGTGAGGCCTCATAAAGTCAGGGGTTAAGGGACCGCGGGTCCCCTCCAGGTCAAATGGGTCTATTTAGGTCAGTCCTTTGGCTGGTTCAAGGTAGGGAGTGCGGTGTTTACATGGAGGTTCATGGTTTCAGAAAGCCCTTATCCGGGTGAGTTCGGTTGGGGGCAGGGACTCACCTCTGTGGAGTGGGTGCTGGGCTAAGGGATTTCTTATGGGGGAATCTCCCCAGTAGCTGGCTTCTCAAGTGGGGAGGGTCTCTTAGGTGGGGATTCACCTCATTGGAGTGAGTCCGATTCTGGTGCTTGGCTCGGTCACTGGCATTGCTGAAGGCTTTACTGCAGCCCTCGTGCTCACACATGTACGGCTTCTCACCCGTGTGTGATCGCAGGTGCGTCTTCAGATTTTCGAGGCGTGAGTATGACTTCCGGCACCCCTCAAACTAGGGGATGTTGGGGTCAAAAGAGAGCTCTCAGACAGAAGGACAGGGAGATTAGAAGAACTGTAAATCTCAAAAGGGACCTACAGCAGAGACTGTAACTCAAGATGGGAGAGCAAGTCCCAAAATTCAGGGACAAGGGCAGGCAAGAGCTGGGCAAATCGAAAGCCAGAGGAGGTGTGGCAGCAAGCATCTCCCTGTCAAGCCAGAGCAGATCTCCCTGCATGGGGATCTTAGACTGGCTCAGGATGGGGTCAGTCTGGGAGTGTCTTATGTCCTTGACACCAAGCTTCTCCATTAGGTCAAGTAGCAGACGCAGTGTCTAGGGCCCAGAGTACTTTTGGGTGCCCACAGACCCTAGGATTGTGACCTGAGCCTGAGCCAAAGGCAGACGCTTAACCAACTGAGCCACCCAGGCATCCCAGAAATATCTTAATTTCTTTTAAAAGCAGGGGAAAAATAGCTTTTTGGGCCAAGAAAATGTCCTAATATACCACATCAATATCTTCATCTTTATACTAACCCAGTCATAAGATAGTTTTAAAATATTTGTTTATGGTGGCAAAAGTGCCTAGGATCCATGAAAGTCATGAGCTCTGCCTTGACCGTGGGGAACCCTGGTTTAGGGAGGGACCCTGGGCTTGGGAAGCGGGCGCCTCACCGTGCACTTGTGTGGCTTCTCGCCCGTGTGTCTGCGCATGTGGACCACCAGCATATACTGGGCTTTGAAGGGCCTCAGCTCCCTGGAGCAGCCCCCCCAATGACACACGAACTCCTTCCGCTCCCCATGGATGTGCTCACTGTTGATGTGCTGAAGGAGGAGACACAAAGGCTCTCTGAGGTTCCCTTCTGCCCCCAAGTCCCAAACCAGACCTTCTCTGGACCTCTCTGCCACCCGCCCCCCCCCCCAAGATTCCTCCAAGTCTCCACCTCATGGGGGAAGAGGCGGCAGAAATACCATCACAGCCTGACCCCCCTGTTCTCCCGTGTTTCTAAAACAGAGCTAGCTCCCGAGTTTCTACCAACCCAACTGGCCACTCAGCCTCTGACTTCGGTATTCTGGGACTTCCTGCTCTTAGCCTCACTCCGCAGTGTCCCACCAGAATGTCCTACAAGATCCAGCCAGCATTCCTGTTACCCCCTGGGGCTCACGTGCACCAGCTGCTCCTGGGAGTCAAATTCTTGGCTGCAGCCATCCCAGCGGCAGTCAGTCTCATACACAGATTCAGGCTCTGGCTTCTCCTCTCTCTCCAGGTCCTCCCGCCCATCCAACATCCCCAGCAGGGGATCCTACGACAGAAGAGGCAGTCCTAGGGTCACTGGGGTGATAGCTTTTGTTTAGTTCAGGTTTCAGAGTTAAAGTCACCCCCCCCTTACCTGTGTGCCTGTGGAGTTGGGGCTGGATATATCACCCTCCAAGGGCTCCTCTGGGCACTTGCTAACCAGCAGGTCCAGCTCAGACTTCAGCTTCCCCAAGGGAAGAGGTGAGGGTGATGAAGGTAGAAGTGGGCAGAAGGAAGAGAGAGCCCAGCCAGGTCTTCCTGCCCCGAGTGCCCCCACCCAAGCAGCTGGAACCCCTGGGTTTGGAAGAGACTTCCTCCTCAGACTGCACTGGGATGGGCAAAAGGCAGGATCTCATTTGGAAGAGTCTTATTCAAACCCCAAGGAGTGAACCCCAGCAACCATACCCCTTTATGTTTCTGCTGCTGAAAACTTCTAGATCCCCTGTCCTTTCCTCACCTTTCCCCATAAAATCCACCACCCGCCCTGAGCTGAGGGAAATTGCGGGGCAGCAGGAGGACTCTCACCTGGCAAGTTGGGAGGGGTCCCCGGGACTGAGGATGTGGCATCATCCCACCTTGAGTGGGGTCATGGGGACCACAGGGCTGGCCCCCGAAGGAAGGTGAAGTCCCTTTTTGGTGATTCATCTGGGGTGGGAATCCCAGAGATGGGCTGAGGAGGAGGAGGAGAGGCAGTTACATAGGACTATTATCTCAAAGAATTCCAGGAGTCCTTGGGCTATTTTGGAGTGTTTCTGGAAGATGGTATGGGACGTGGTTGAGGCAGGCCCAGGAAACCACCAAAGGGGCTTTCAACACCTTTGAAATGATAAGGATTGGGATAGGGTCAGGTGCTTTGGAGGGCTTGAGGCTTTTAATGGGGTTTGGTCAGGTCTTTAGCCCAAGGCTCTCTGCACCTCATGGTGCCGATGGAGAGGTGCCCATAGGAGCCCCCGGGAGATGCACAGCGTGAGTTGATGAAGGCCACAAGGGAGCTGGGTGAGGTGCGGATGACTGTCTGCAGGTCCAGGCTGGCATCTGACAGAGGTGAGATGGAGAGGGCCCGCTTCTTGGTCAACTTGACTGCACTTCGGGGAGGAGGGAAGAGTGGGGCTGGGGCAGGAAACAGGGGAGATAGCTATGGTAAATGGGGCCTGTCTCCATACACCCAACCCATGGGTCCTGATTCTCAACAAAAAAAAAAATGACACTTGATTCTGCTTTGCCCTACCCACCCCATCTGTGACCTCCTGATAGTGCTCTGACCCCTTGCTCCAGTCTCCAAACATTTCCTCTTCCAAGTTAGATCCCCTGCCTTCCCCCCCCCGCCCCCAACACAACTTTCTCTTTTAGAGCAAGTTCCAGAAGGGCAGGAAGGGAAGAAATGTTGCCTGAGGCCTCACCCTCAGTGCAGCTGTTGGTCTCTCTGGCTGGCCCGTAACTGTGGGGGCCAGACATGAGGTTGGCCTGGTGGCAGAAGGGCAGACCAGACAGTCCTAGAAAAGAGAGATAGCCAGATTGGGGAATGGGAATGAGGGACACATAAGGACAAACCTTGAACCACCGAGAGAGGCCCGACCCCATATTCCAACCCTATAAGACACAGAACCTCAAATCTTCTTGTGGACTAGAGACTGGCATGGGGTAGGAGATAGAAGAGGGATTCCCTGGGGCTAGTTGAGACAGCTGCCAGTCCTCAAGGCCTGGAGATTGGTATTTGCACTGACCTTCTGTCCCCATGTTGGGGGCCTGACTGGGGAGAGGCCGGAGACAACAGGGCTCGCCATAGCTACTGACCGGAGGTGGGGTCATCGAGTTGAACATGGTGTCTCAGAGGAGAGTGTGGGGACTCTGCAGGAGGGAAATAAGATGAGATAACTAATTCAGGTATAGAACCTTGAAGACATCTGCCATGGGAAATCAAAGTGAAGTGAGCATCACTCAGCCAGGGTGAGGGAAAGGAGAGTCCCAAAGAGGCAGAGGCTGTTTCCAGGATCTTTGTGGGAATTGAGTGGGTTCTTTGCCTGGGTGGTCTAAGCGCCTCTGTGTGTGTGTGTGTGTGTGTGTGTGTGTGTGTGTGTGTGTGTGTGTGTTTAGCGGGGAGTGTTATGGACTAATTGAGCCAGTATGAGCCTCAAGTGATTTTATACCATGGCTCTCCATTTCTTCTGGCTTTGACCATGGGCCAGCTTTGAGGGATAGGATGGGGAAACTCATGATGAGCCCCTTTGCCTTCATTTGTTCCTGCCCAGCGACAGGACCTCTACAATCTCTCCAGTATCCAGCAGAGGGAGCTCTCGTCACAGCCCAGAAGGAGAGGCTGGTGGGGCCAGGAGCTAGCACAGATGATCTTTTTCTAACGCAGAAAACTGTGTATGAAATGGGATAAGGTTTCTGAGGTGAGCCTCCCGGGTTTGTTGAGTACAAAGAGTGGAAACTGGTGTTATCCTGGGGTAGTTTGAATCTGGGCGCCCACCTTAGTTGGTCTGTTTTGGGCGAGCAGGAAAGGACTGTAAGAGAAGGCTTTGTGAGAATGAAAAAACAAAGTTATCATCCATCAGAGAAGAGTTGTGAGGGAGAGGGTTCTGCCGTCCGCTTTCCTCCTCAAACTCCAGTTTTGGTTCCACCCCGGGTTTTCTGGTCTCCCGGGACTGAGGGTGGGGTGGGGCGGGGTAGGGTGGAGAACGACCCGGAGCGGGCTGGCCGGCGCGGTGGGTGATCCCGGGATGCTGGGATTTAGGGTGAGGGCGGGGTAAGATGGGGAGAGGAACCAGGACCCCATGACCCAGCCCAAGCCCCGCAGCCTGGATTGTACCCTTCCTAACTCCTCCTTTCCCAGCGGAGAGCTGGATCCCGCATCCAAGACCTCCCAACTCGACCTTGGCACTTTGTGTGTGTGTGGGGGGGGGCACAGCTGGCTGGCAGCTGGATGCGGGGGACACTTCTCCCTCCTCCTTCCTCTATGACTCACCCAGGGGAAAGAGGCAGGGGCTCGCAAACGACCCCCCAAACACTAAAGAAACCCCCAAACGTGCCTACTCAGTCATCTTCCTATGCTGCTGCCCAGCCGCAGGAGAGCCGCGATGTAAATGGGGCGACATCCTTCCTCGCCCACGCGTGCCACAGCCCACCCACGTTTCCCCGTCACACTAGTGACAGGAAAATTTCGCCAACTTTTCCAGCTTCAGTTAAGTTTTTCTGGGGTGTGGATGAGAGCGCAAGATGGGGCAGGGAGCCCTAGGGTTGCCCTGCTGGAGCCCTGAATCATCTTCTGTGTCTCCCTATTTTCCAGAGTCCCCCTCGCACCCCCGCTCCCCAACTCCCAGGAGTAGGCCCCGCCCCCTTCTCCCGGTCCCGCCTTCCCCGCCCCCGTGCCTCCTCGGCCCACCCAAGTCGCCGCCGCAGGCTCTGGCTGCAGACGGCTCGGCTTCCCCCGCCCGCCCCGGGAGCCCAGTCGAGCGAGCCGCGGTGGAGGGAGGGGTGGGTAGTTGAGAGGCGGGACACATTCTTCCCTCCTCCCCTCAGTGCATCCAGAAAGCTGGCAGTGGCGCCCGGGGGGCGGGGGGCACTGTTGAAGCGTAGGGGTGCCCATGGCGGGGTGGAAAAGAAAGAAGAATCCAGAAACTATAGGGACAGAAAGTGGCTGGGTAAATAAAATAAGATGTGTATGGCCAGAGAGAGGGGTCAGGACACCTTAGGTTCCTGATTATCACAGCTGGCTTCCCAAGGGTTAACCCCTCCAGACCCCCGGGAACCCCTCAGTGACGTCAAGGGCGGGGTCTGTACCGCCTGGTTGGGGATTCCGGAGAGATAATTGGGGGGGGTGTCTCCGGACCCCGCCTCCATAGGGAAAACCACCCTAATTCCGGCCCTTACAACTCCCCCGGGAAATTGCCCCGCCTTCTCCTTCCACTGGACAGTAAAGATCTATCCTATGAAGACCCCAGTTCTCCAGCCCCGAAAACCTTAAGTCCCCAGTCACTCTGGGATCCCCTTTCCCTAATCCTGTCCCCGAAGCTAGCTGCCCAGGGCGGATTGTTTCGGGGTCACCGGGCCTGAAAGAGGCTTCAGAGCGGGGAGCAAGGGCAGGCAGGGTGGTCTGAGCCAGAGGAGGGGCCTCGGCCCTCCGCTCCCGTTGGGGAGGGGGTTCCAACGGGGATACACAGGCAGGCAGTGGCCAGTGGTCCCGCCCAATCCCACTAGGGGTCTCCCTGCGGCTGGCCCAGCTGTCCTGGTGGTCCTGAGGTCAGAGGGTCAAGACAAGGTCTCCGCTCCTCCTAAGCACCCTGACCACAGTCCTTGGGGACTCAGGAGTCCAGATTCCTTGAGGAGTCTTTCTAGGGCCTAAAGGAGACGCTGGTCCCTCCAGCCCCCTTCCTTATCCAGAAGACACTCCTTTCCCCGAGAACACATGCACCGGCAAGCTCATCTGTCACAAGACAGGTCAGGGGTTCAAGACTGCCCGTCCCCCACCGGTTTGTCGCCTCACACACACCCATCTCCACCCCACCCAGGGCTCTCTCCTTAGCTGTTCCCTCCTTGCAGAAACACTGACGTCTTCCTCCCGGCGCTCAGGACACACCTGGAGCTCCCTCTCTACCACGCAGACCTCCAGCTAGCAGTCCCTCCAGCCTCTTCATCCCAAACTCATGAAAGTGAGATGTTTCTAATAGATGGAAGAGGCGGAGACAGACAAAGAGATCCACGGTTGCCTGAGACAGAAACACAGAGACTGTCAGAAGAAAAAAAAGATACAGAGAAAGGGAAATACAAATGAAAAAATTCTTCAAACTTTCTATATCTCACGCAGGCTCTCCCACCCCCTCTTTGCCTCTGTGCCCCAGGTCTCCCTCTTGGCTGGGCAGAGTCCCTCGCATGCAGGGCATCCCCTCGGGCCCCCTCCCCCACTGCTCCCAGGTGGTCCCCCGCCGGCCCCCCTTCTCACCTCCTTCTGGGCGCAGGGCTCGGGATGCGCGGTCCAGGGCTAGAGTCTGGGCTGGGGGGTGTGCGGTGGGGAGGGGGGGCGGACAGGGCCACGGCAGCGCAGCCTCAGTGCCACCCCCACCCCCCACTAACCTGGCCGCCAGCCCTCCCGCCGGCCCAGCCCGCCGGGCCGCGAGCCGGGACCACCCGCGAGAAGCGCAAACTTTTTTTTCCCTTTTGCAAAAACTTTTTCTCGCTCAAGCAGCTGGCGCGCCGCCGCTCTTCCCGCTCGCCTCTCACCTCCCTTCTACTTCCCTCCCTCTTGCGGTTCTGGAGGATGAGGCGGGGTAGCTAAAAGCAAGAGAGGGGGTGCCGGGCTTATTGCACCCCCAGGACCCCCAGGATCCTCCCCCTCCCTTGAGGGACCCTATACTGCCTCCCCCCCACCCCGCCCGACACGCTGCTGGTGGTGGGCAATAAATCCCGGCATGGATCCTTGGATCGGCTGCCCACGAAGAGGCCCCCCCCCCCCACCCTACCCCCAACCCCCAAGCTAGGAAAAAACTTAAAAAATATATTGGGAGGTGGGGGGCGACGAAGAAGTTCATCCGAGAAAGATATTATTGGAGGTAGCGTCGTCGACTTTGGTTGGGGCTCTCTGAGCATTCCGCCATCCTGTAGTGTATCACTGCTGGCCTCACTCTTTCAGTGGAACATGAAGGGGTTTGGACAGATTTGGGGTTTGGTGCAAAGAGGACTGGAACAGAGTTGGCTTAGAAGTGAAGGGTCTACAGAGCATACAAGAGAGGAGCCGTGGCTGAGGCTCTAGGTGCAGAGTATGCGGTTCACAAGGTTACTAAAGAACCTTGGGACGCGACCGAAAAGAAGCACTGTTCCGCGGAGAAACCCCGCTCTCCTTCATCTCGAAGTTCTGGAGACTGCGGGCACCTCCGCACCTCGGTTCCGCCCGCTGTCTGCAATTCCAGGCTGTCTGCTCCCTCTGCTGGCCGTTCCGGCACATGACACGCTCGGAGACTACCAGAGAAGACCCTAGGAGCTGAAGTAGGAGACTTTACGGGTCACCCCACCAAAGCCCAGTTAGGAGCCCAGGGAGGGGGTTGCATGAGCCCAAAGAAACGGAAAGGCACACTAGAAGAGGCTGCTAGTACTGAACGGTAGTGTCTGAGAGGGGAGTGCCTTGCCCCTTCGGATTTGTGGATGCAGGGGAAGGGGCAGCTATTTCAGTCCATTTGATCTTTATGAGAAAGGGGAGAAAACATGGTGAGGAAAAGGAGTCCCCTCCTTTCCTGTCACCCTCAGATAGGCCTCTCCCATCCTAGCTCTGCTTCCAAGAACCACCTCCTCGGGCCTGGAGAGTTAGTAGGTTAACTGTTCATGCTGAGGGTCAAGGGGAAAAGGTGATACTAGGAAGAGGTCTGAGGCCCTACCAATATAGGTAGTAATTGTAGAGGAACAGTAAGGAGTCCTAGTTGACCCTCTCTCCCCCATATGACTTTGGCCTGGACACCAATTATACCCAGAAGGTCAGGCAAGACCAGTGGTCCTGTCCCAGCCATTTGCCCTTTTTTTTCAGAGAAGCTCTTTTAAAGCAGGCTGCTTTTTCCTCCTCACCCAGGTCTCCAGATTAGTGATTCTGTGAGCGCACCAGCAGGGGGGAGGGTCAAAGGAGGAGGGAGAAGCCGACTCCCCACCAAGCAGGGAGCCCAGTGCCATATCCAGCTTGATCCCAGGATCCCAAGATCATGACCTGAGCCAAAGGCAGACACCTAACTGACTGAGCCACCCAGGTGCCTTTTTTTTTTTTTTTTTTTTTTTTTTTGGTTTTTAATAGGCTCCCTGCCCAAACTGGGCTTGAACTCAGAACCCTGAGATTAAGAGTCAAATGCTCTACCCGCTGGGCCACCCAGTCACCCTGCCTTTACACTCTTAAAATTTATTGAATTTTTGTTTATGTGGTTCATGTCAATTTACTATTTTAGAAATTAAAACTGAAAACAGTTTGTAACACAATATACAAGCACATATCCCATTAACAGTGATGTCAAAAAGATGATGTAATCACATGCCACATAGCTTCTGGAAAACTCCACTGTATACTTTTCAGATAATGAAAATAAAAAAGGCAAATACCATCTTAGTATTATGAAAATAGTTTTGACCTTGTGAACACTCCTGAAAGGGGTCTCAGGGACCTCCCGAGGTCCTCAGACCTCACCTTGAAAACTATCCCTCCGGACTATCACCCCAGCACTTCTTTATGACTCATACTTGTTGATTTTCCCCCTCATTTTTATTAGGAATATATAAACATTTGTCTCCCCCGTGGGTCCTGTCCCACACACTGGGAAAAACCAGGGAACTTCTTAGGCTCAGTACCCCTCTCACCCAGCTCCCATTTCTTGGGCTCTCCTAACCTACTTCCTCTTAGCCCCTTGCCCATCTCCTTCTCGACCCTCCCTGGAAGCCCTTCCATAGTTCCTAGCCTGGACCAGCCTGCTTCCCCTGTCCCAAGCCTGCTTCCCGCACTTGAGGACTTTCTTTTCTTGTGAGAGACTAAGTAATTTTTCTCTGCCTTCTCCTTCCCTCCACTCCTCCCTCACCTCTGCCGCCTTTTCAGAGGGCTTAGGGTAGGAAACCATGCTTTCTGGGGAGACTCCTTTAGAGAACACACTTTCCCCATTCTCCCTACACATCAGCTAGCCTGGAATAGGCAAGAGTCTGGACGAACAAGTGCCCATTTGGGTCCCCTAGGGGTCACCCCGGTCATCTGGCCACCCAGCCTGTTAGGTGGGGGTGTGGGTCAGGAATCTAATGTCTCCCGCCACAGACGCCCTCTGCCTGGGAACCCCTAACCGATCTCTTTACTCCAAACCCCCAGGTCTTCTCGCTAGCTGCAGCCACAGGCCTCTACCACCATATCTGGCACATCTGTCTTGATCACATTGCCATCCCGGTCCAGGTAGAGGAGAGACAGAGGCCTTCGGGCAGTAGGGACACAGCAGGAAGTACCCAAGGGCCAAGGGTTGTTGGCCTTGAGGAGGCTGAAGACAGCCGAATGGAAGGAGGCAGCAATGCCAGGGCTGCCAGCCAGGTGTGGGGGGCACTGTCCACTGCAGTAATTCAGCTTGTACCCCTCGGGCTGCAGGATCCAGTCCCGCCATCCTAGTTCCTGGAAGTCTACATAGTGGTCTCGCCGGCAGCATAAGGGGGTCTCAGGCTCACAGGTGGGGGTCCTCCTCCTGGCCCGGCCTGTTCCAGGCTCATTGGGCCGGATCTTAAGCTCCAGGAAGGGCCGCTGGTCTCCCGCCGTGTCCAGGAGCCGCAGAGGCTGCTGGGCAGAGGTGGCGTTGCCTTCTAGGTGTCCGCAGTTCAGCCGGAGCTTCAGGACGGTGGACTCCTCGGCCCTCAAGCCACTAGGGGGCAGAGTGAGGGCGTGCCAGCCCGGGGCCGTCATCTGGTGCTCAGCCAGGAGTTTGCGGGACCCTGGGTGCCTGCTCCTTGGGCTCCATCGGAAGATCCTCAAGGAAAGCGTGCCAGGAAGGGTGGGGAGCACGTGCAACCAAAGGCGAGCGTGGTACAGGTGGTGGGACTGAGCTGTGGACAGGTGGAAGGTGAGCATGGAGCTGCAAGGTGAAGTGGAGGAATCTGCCGGAGAGATGGAGAAGGGATGGAGGAATGTGAGCAGGGATGAGCTCTCCTCCAAGACTCCTGCCACCCCCGCCCGCTGCTCTCCTGAGCCCCTTTAGAAGACACAGGGACTGCCTTGTGTCCTCCGTCCTGCGTAACCAGTCAACTCCTCCTCCTCCCACACCCTGCCTTTTCTGTCTGTCGCCCCTTCCTCCTCCCTCTCCCTGTCTGCTCTCTGCCTGCCCCTCCCTCACCCACCTGTGATGGTAGCAAAGCTGATGACCTCCTCCCCTTTTGCAGGAGCCACACTTCCTGGCTGCAGTCTCTGGAGGGCTCTGGCCAGCGCTGCCTGGGGTGGAGGGTGAGTTATTCTGGGACGACTGGTCATGTGCAGCCCCTCCAAGATCTGCTGCTTGGCTAGCTCCAGTACCAGAGTGCGTTCTGCTTGGGGCACTGGCGTGGGACCTCCACAGGAGGGACATACAGACCCTGTCCCCTGTGCCCACACCAGTGCCCACAGCAACACCAGCTGGGGCTGGACATCAGGGAGCCCCATGCTCCTGGTGAATGGCCCTGGGTTGGGTTGGGAGCCTCGGATGGCAGGTGCTCCTTCTGTTGATCTGATTGCGTGGAAGCCAATGAGGGCACAGGGGCAGCAGTGGTTGTGCCACACCCAGCCTCGGCCAAGGGTAGAGCCACCTGCCTTCTATTGCCTGGGACTCAGGAAGGCAGTATGTGGATGGTCCTATGCGTGGCTGTGTTTAGCGCAGTCTGCCAGTTTGACCCTCACAGCTCATGGCTGGTAACTGACTGGGGCCTCTTTAGAGCCACAACCTGGGGCTCCCTCACTTAGTGGTCAGCCAGCAGACCTACCCTCTGAGCCCTGGGATTGGCTGGCTGTACTGCCCATCAGGGCCCTGCAGGGGGCGGAGGTCCCCCTCCACCCCCCCCACTCCCCCGGAGCTCAGGTTTCACCATCTGGCCTGGTCACTGAGTTTGAGGTATGGGTAAGGGGGTGGGGGTGCAGTGTGGACACGCATGATGCAAGAAAGAGAATGATTTCACATGCTCAGTCCCCAAGGTCTGAGGCTCGGGGGAGGGACTCGTATGGGCAAGGTGGGGAGGGCAATTTCCCCCCCATACCTCTAGTCCTTCTAGCTTACCCAGACACCTCTGCTGCAGCAGTTCTTAGAGGCAGCTGTTAGTTCCACTGGTTATTTCTCCAGGGTCTCTGGGCCGGAAGAACTCTGGTCTCTCTCTTCCTAGCAATGGGGTTGGGACAAGGGGGAGAGGAACGGAGTCCTCCTGCGCAGGCCAAGGTGGCAGTGCCACGGGACACAGAAGTCACCTCCTGACCCTGCTTATGCTGGCTGCCCAGAGTCCAGTTGGACTGGAGCACAGCGTGGAGGAGGGCTGGAGCGTGGTGGGGGGGGCGTGTTCCTATGATGTCGGGGGGAAACCCAGAGAGGTAGGGGAGGCAGTGATGCAATCTTACAGCAGGACACAGTCCATCAAGGCTGGCAGAAGGGCGTGGGACTTGGGAGCACCCATACCTACATGCTGGGTCTCTTTAAGGGGACTGTGAGAGTTACGTAAATTCGGGACATCCTAGGAGTGGTTCGAGGCCTCCGTGAAAGGGGGCAGGACATGGGAGGTTTAAGGACTTTGAAGAGCAAAGCAAAATAAGTGGGGTGACATTAGCTCCAATCCCAGCCCTTCCTCACTGACAAAATGGGAAGGCCATGGTCCCTCCACCTTGAACTTATGAGGGTAGACTTAATGCTGGCCTTTCTCCTTTCTCCTTCAAGAAGCTAGAAGACTGTGATTTGGACACATGCCGCGACTCCATCTTATTAAGCTCCCACCTGTGTAGCCAGTGGGGGGGCTGCCAAGAGACTCCCAGATCTGGCACCAGGGGGAGAAAGGTGGCGCTTTGGGGGCTGGGGATCAGTACCGGCGGTGTCCAGCATGTGGCAGTGTAGTGCCACTGGACGGCCGCTGGCTTAGCGCTGACCAGCTTCCCAGGGAATGGGCTGCTCTGAGGAGTGGGGAGCGGCACAGGGCTTTCCAACCTCTCCCTTTGGGAACCCTGCCTCTCCCACAGAAAACAGAGAAGCCAGTCCCCGTGCTCTCCCCTCTTGCCACTACCAAAGAGCAGAGCTGTTGTCAGGCCCCAAATCACCGCTACCTTTGGTTTTAGACCTCGTCCCATTGACACGTGGCGGTGGAACTTGATGACAGGTGCCAGGTCCTAGAAACCCAGGGCACTGTGTGCTGGGGGGCGGGAGACGCCGGGGTAGAGAAGGGACAAGGAAACTTTTAGACCCTCCTGTCCTTCCTACATTTTTCCCCAGGCAAAAACATATTCAAGTTTGCTGTCCAGTCCTCTCCTTCCCCATTCTGAGCAACCTCTCTGTTGGTTGAGGCTGGTGAGAAGGAGTCCTCTACCCCTGGGGTCTGGAACATCAAACTGCAAAGAAGTTTCTGCCCATAGTGGTGTCTCAGAGGGCTTATCTGTTGGGGCCAGGAGACAGAGTCAAGGGAAACAGCATCAAGTGCTTGCAGGAGTCACTGACTCGTCTTCTCCCCTACCCTCTATCAGGTGCCCCCAATTTTCGGCTCTTCCTATCCTCTTGTTGCTGTGCCTGGCCTGGCCCTACCTCCCCACTGACACTTACGTCAGAACCCAGCTATAAATATGCTCTTAGCATCTTAGTCACTTTCCCCAAGAAGTTCTCCCAGGTTATAAATACCCCAGCCATCTGCCTCACAGGCCCGCCCTACCAACCTGGTTGGGTGCTGGGGGGGAGGGACAGGCTCGGGGGGCGGGTAAGAAGGGAGAAGAAGCCCGAGTGGTTATCTTGCCCACATGAGAAAAGCCTGACACAGTCTAGAGTTAGGGGCCAAGAGGCTCTGGAAGCCAAAGTTTGGAAGAAGACAGACCCACTCTTTCCCTTTTACAACAGGCAGAGCCAAAAAGAAAGGGAGTTAATACTGATTCTGTGTTTATTTTAAAATTTGTTGTTTTGCTCATGATGGATTTTTTTGGCATTCATTTTGCTGCTTTAAAAACATAACATTGAGATATTATTTATCTCAGTTGATGAATTTCTTGGCATCCCCTTACAATTTGTCCCCCAAAGTAACTGCCTTACTTCACCTCACCTTAATCTTGGCCCCAGGGACTGAAGCTGGAGTTGGAGGGAGAGAGGTCAGATCTAGGGAAGGGGTGGCTTGTAGGGAGAGTAGACACCGTGGGAGGGGGAGGAAGGGGCACAGAAGACTTCCTTAGATGTTCTCCTTAGATGAAGATCTCCTCCAGGCAAAGATGGCATGACTTCTGTGGGTTGTTCAGGAAGTCCCATGTCTCAGATATGCAGGTTGCCTAAGAAGATCACCTTCAGACTTTCTCCTCTACGGTTCCTCTTCCAGGGACCTCAGACCCTGGGAGGAGGGAGTTATACACTGAGTAAACACAGACATCACGTTACCCAAAGGACACGTGGGTTTTGCGCAAACTCGGCCTTGGGCTGCAGACAATATCGACCCCATGGTTCAGGGCTGTCTAACCAAAGGGGGGGGGGGGATGATGGGGAAAGAAGGGCAAAGGTCTAGAGGGGACCCAGTCTCAGAGCAAATTCCTCCCCTCCTCATTCCATGCCTTCTTTTTCTTCTCCCTGTCCCATGCAAGTGGCTCTTGGCCAGTTCCAGCTTCCGGGCAGGTCTCCTGGATGGAGCCCTGGGGGTCAGTGAGGGAAAGCCACCAGCCAACTCTGAGCCCTGCCTCTGCCTCCCCCAACATGTGTGCTCCTAGGATGTCAGCCTACTTGCTGACTGAGCAATGATCTGTCTCATCTCTTAGAGTGAGCATGGAGGGAGAAGAAGAGCAGATAAAACCTAAGTCTTTATTAGTTCTGAGACCAGCAAAGATGGTTCTGGGGCGGAGGAGGAGGCCTAAGAAAGAAGAGGAGGAAACATAGGAAAGGAAGAGGCATGAAGTGTGGGATAGACATAATAGCTCGGCCCTGAGGAGCCTGGGAGAGAGAGAGCAGAAGTGGGCCTGGTGGGTAGACACTGGGTCATCCTCGGTTTCAGCCAGGGTCCTGGCAAGAGACAAAAGAACCATTCAGTTGTCTGTGTTTGCATCACTAAGAGACTTAATGAAGACCTTATTTATGGATGTGTAGGCAGGGTTAAGAGAATGAAGGATGAATGTTGAAGCTCCCAGAGACTAGCAAGAGTGGAAAGCCCTTATAAGCCCTTAGTGCGGAAGCAGTGATATCAGAATCTAGGTAGAACTGGGGCCAGGGGGAGCCAGATAGGAGCTGTAGGGACAGACCACAACCACAGTCACACAGATACATGGCACCTAGGCAGAGGGAACAGGAATAAGAAATATCCTGACCTCTATCTCCCCCTATCCTTTGATCTCCTGCTTGTGTCAGCCCTTAGCCGAATTCAGCAGGAAGCCAGGGACCAAAGAGGCTGAGGTGAGTCAGCCCTTAAGGGCATAGAGCGGGGCAGAGAAGGACAAAGAATGGATGAGGGTGTGCCAAGAGAGCCTTAGCAACCCACCAGGGCCAATAAGGGGCTCGAGATACAGGGAAGAGTAACTTTGGACAGCAGGGATCTAATCTTCAGTGAATCTAAGGAAGGGGCTCTCTGGTAATCCTGAAAATAAGGGGAAGGGGCTGGGTCAACTCATCCTGGAGTGACGGCCATCGAGTGGGAAGAGCAGGGAAGTACCTCGGATTATGGGATGGATTAAGGATGGGCTATGGATGGCTTTGCCTGGGAACTAGATGGCACTGCTCATGGTTGCAGGTGGGATCAGAATCCCTGGGGTGGCACTTGAGCCTGGGAGGCTTGCTGGGTAGACTGTGCCCTAGGAGAGAAACTGGTGGTCACGAAGATGGTACAGTGACTCTCCTTAGATGAAGATCTCCTCAAGCCACAGATGGGATAATTTCCACAGTTTGCCCAGGAAGAGGGAGTCCTCCTTCTGGACAGAGGCAGTAATGGGGTCATTCCCTCCTCTCCAGGAAGGGTACCTCTGTGAGGGCATGTTTGCTTACTCCCACCTTGGGCTGCCCATCCACATGCGGACTAACTACAGCCACAGGCCTCGACCACCATGTCGGGTATGTCAGTCTTGACAATGTTGCTGTCCCTGTCATAGTAGAGCAGAGAGAGGGGGCGCCGGGCCGTGGGCACACAGCATGAGCCCCCTCCTGCAGTTCCTGACGCTGTGTTGGCCTTGAGGAGGTTGAGCACTGCAGTGTGGAAGGAGGCAGCAATGCCGGGCATGCCTGCCACATGCAGTGGGCACTGCCCCATGCAGAAGTTCATTGCATAGCCCTCAGGCTGGATGATCCAGTCGTGCCAGCCAATCTCACGGAAGTCCACAAAGAACTCTTGCCGACAACACATCCTGGACCCACCCTGGCAGTTGATGCCTCGCCGGTGAAGCCGGTGCTTGCCCCCAACTTTGACCTTAGCTGTCACAAAAGGCCTATGGGCAGCCTCACCCAGTATGAAGGAGCTCTGGGCTCCTTG